TGCTTCTGGTGAAAAAAATAAAAACTTTTCCTCGAAGAAATACATTCCTAGAGTGGCTGAAACTGCAATTCCAAATGATGGAACAAGAACAGACCAAAGTAGACTGCAGATGGTAGACTGCTCTGGAACTGATACCATAGGATCTGTCTCTGAAATACAAGAAAGTATCCACAGTGTTACCAGCACTTGAAATGTTTGGACTTTTCTTTACATATACGAGGTTAAAAATAAAATTTGGATGCCTCAGTGCAGGTTGTGAGATTTTTTTGTAAAATAGTGTAGACTTTTAAAACTTACAAAACATTCCATGCTGTTAGTATTCCTGTTTCCTGTTTGCATGACTTGTCACTAGATTTTTATTCCTTGAAACAAATGTTGTACTAGTACCTCTCAGTTTTTACTACACACAAAGGTTCCTGGAATATGTTTTTTATTGTATATCACAGATCTTTTTAGAGAGTGTAAACAGTTTCAAGCTAATAAAATTTAGTAAAAATTTTGTTTTTAAATTTATTTCCAGCATATTGCATTGGAAGTGGAAAGAGTGTTTTTTTAAGGCAAACATCAGTTGATGCCTGACAGTGTGGGTACAAAAGTAGTTGGAAGCTTCAAGTATGAAAATGAGTACAGAACCATTTCTAAAATAATTGAATACAGATGTTCTTTATTGGTGCGGATTGAAGAATAATACATCTGTGAAGGGACTTTTGGAGGATGTCTACTCCATCTGAATTAGGTTACTCTCATAAATAACTTGCAGAAATGTGAGAACAGAGATGAAAAATTACTGTTTTGAGACTTCTCAGGTCTGCCTCCCCAGCTACTTCTTCCCATCTTTCTGCACAGGCAGCTGCCTTGGCAGCTTCTGAACTATGGCACAGAGTAACGCAGGTCTTGGTTTGCCTAATGCAGTACAGAAGGTGCTGTTTAACACTGGAGAAGGTTCACTTCAGTATGGCCCCGAAAAATAAAAGCAATAGCTTTCTTTGTATGCTTAACTAAGTGCCATGACAAGGCAATAGGTCAAGAGACTTATATAGTAATTATGTTCTATAATTATTAGTTTCCTTCGGTGGTTTTAATAGCACTTTGTATTTTTTTTCTTCATATAGAGAAGTGGAAGTACTATGAAGTCAACTTATTTGAAAAGGTTGCAAAGATGAAGATATTAAATGTTTAAACAAATTATTGGAATGGTTTTTAAGCTCTGGGGCAAGGTAAAGTTTTCATTTGGAAAAATTACCTTTTAGTTTAGGGTTTTGCACCTAGGTCACTTAGTTGAGCAGTAGGAATGATTTTCTCAAACAAACCAGTCAACTTTGCTTTCAATAATTTATTTCTGTGGCATTTTCACATGCATGTCAGTCCTGATTCAAAAGAACTTCTTAAATACTGTAGCTAGCTCTGAGAGATGGGATAGTAGAATCTGATATACAGTGTTTGTCTTTAAGTTTAAAGGTTCAAAACTCATAAGAGTTGGACTAGATGATCTTACAAGTCTTTTCCAACGTAAATGATTCTATGAGTCTATGTTGCCAAGTGTTCCTGAAAAACTTCTATTCTGAAAAGTAGATCAAGTTGTAATACTTTAATTTCATATTTACAGTGGTAGCTGAAATTCTTCAGTGATCATAACCTTTTAACTTATTTTGATTTTTTTTTTTGGCATTATGTATTCCATCTGGAGAATTAAAGGAAGACACAGGAAGATAGAGCAAGGGAAGATTGATTTCACATGTATGAATTAGGCAAGATGGTTTAGGCTGAGCTAGGATGCAGGGGTGGTGGAATTACCATTAACTTTTTTTTTTTTTAACTCTGTCATCAGAAGTAAGAATTCTGTAATACAAGATCTGTAGAAATTGCTGTCTACAGCTGCTTGAAAATTGTGAAAAAACTCATGAATCTGTAAATGGATTTCTGCTGAGCAAGTAGCATGAGATCACCTTGGCTATTGCAATATTGCACAAGTAATTGCACAATGGAAGTACATTATTTATATAGACTTTGTCACTTCAGAATAATAGCAGAGTAACATGTTAATCTATGCATTTTTTAGACATTCTCCCAAACATTTGAGGTCTATACTTCAGTCATGGTTTGTTGCTTATAATTTTGATTTGATTGATTCATTGATTGAAGTTTTCTCAGCAGTGAAATGCTATGCATTCCTTTTTTAAAACAGAAACTGATCTCTGAAATGGTGGATAACCATTAAAATGTCAAGTGTTCAGATGTGTGGGATTGGGAACTGTCTGTTACTTATCTCTTAAAGATTGTCAGGAACTTAAAACAGTTTATGTATTGTATGCCTAAAAACAGGTGGCATAAATTCTGTCTGTTAAATAATTTATTTGCTTTTAAAGTATAAATTATGTCAAAAGTCATCATTTGAAGCAAAATTGACCGAGTAGTTTATATAGCATCATCTTTATTTCTGCAATTGGATTAATACTTAAACATTAATTATTATTTTCAAGCAAATACATGAAGGGTTCTTCATCTTGTCAGAAGAACTGTCATGTGGCTTACTGTGAGAATCTGGAGTGGGTACTTCATACACAATCAAAACACAGGATCTGTAGTCTGTAGAGATAACGGATGTCAGTTGCCTTGAGGGAGAAGCACTATTTTAAGGCTAATACTTCAGAAGTTTCAAGGTGATTTAGTTTTCAAAAAAAAAAAAAAAAATGATATGTAAAAATATATTTAAGTATTTTAATGAAAAGTAATATTCTTAAAATATTTTCATGCATATGCATTTTAAGTGATTATGAAACCATCTTGCAACTGAGTTTGGCTATAGACTGTTTCAACCTCTTGCTATTAGTTAATGTTTTACGTATTTGTCTGTGTTCGTTTGACATAAAAGCCTAGAATCAATAGCCCAGCTATTTGCTAGAGAACACATTGCTGTTTACTTATAAAACTCTAGCATTTTTCTCTCCTTACTTGGGCTTCCCAGGAATGCTTTTTTTTTTTTTTTTTTTTTCACATTTCATATTTGCAGTATTTGGAGCTAGATCTCTGAAAAACAAAACAACATAACACCTTTCTGAACTACCTGCATCTTTTTAGCCTCATCAAAATTTGCCTTTCTCACTCGTTTGCTGGACCAGACATCCCAGCTGCCTCCTAAAGTAGATGCCAAGTTGCTGTGTAGTCAGCTTATTTGTCTTTCAGTAATGACGTCAGTTTGTCCATCATTGTACCAGACAGAACTTGTGTGTTCTTGGTCTCCTTGAGTGAGCTAATTCTTTTCCAGCAGTACTCAATGAAGGTTTTTCTATCCAGCGTGACACAAAGTGATGATGAACTCAACAGAAGTTCACTGAAAACTTTGGAGCTCCAGTGCTCATTCTCTGACTTGTGTTTTATTTTTTCCAGTTATGCCTTATAGTTAATATAGCACTCAATGGCTTCAGGTTTGTTAATTATACAAATTCAGATCCATCTGGAGGGATCTGTGTCAGGGTCAAGTTCTCTGTCAAATAGTAGAAGCCTAAATTGTTCCTGAAAGCCATGGCTTTGGAAGCTTGTATTTTATATGGGATGGCTATGTAAATTGACATGAGTGTATGAACTTCGAGGTATTAAGTAGTAATCATTGGTAGCAAAATTTTAAATTAGGAGAACTTTCAATTCAACAGAAACCAAACTCTGATATCACCTTTACTATTCCTCTCCATTGTTTCCAGCTGCAAAAGCATAGTAATCCCTTGCGTGTACATAAAATGGACTTCCCTGTGTTCAGGTAACTGTAAAGTTTATTCATCTGCATCAATTTTATTTATGTCTTGTCAGTACACAAAAATAGATTTTGTAAAGCTCTGGGTGGCAAGCCTTCCAGCAAAGTTGTCTTCTGATCTCGTAGGATCTGCTACTTTGACCTTGCTGGTCAAGATGGGACCCTCTTTGTCCTGGAGAGAAAAACGACAATGTCTGCTACTTCATCCCCTGCTGTTTAATGCTCTGAGCTGATACCTGCATCAGCTTGCCTAGTTTTGTTTTTTGTGTCCTAGCAATTTGTGCCAGAGGTTTGTAAGACATTCAGTTCCTAAGTTTTAAGTTGCCTTTTTTGGTTTATGCCACACAGGTAATACTCAAAACTGATCCTGCTTGGACATCAAAGCACTTTGCATAGCAGGGGCCCAGCTTCTCCAGCCACCTGAGCCACCACCCTGCGCTACTTCTGAGTGCTTCTGTCATCCCTTCGTACTGAGGACACCTTTTTCCCCAGTGAGCTCGAGTTCAAAGCCGGCTGCAGGCAGACGCAGGTACTCTGCTCTTAGCCACAGGAACAGCGCGTACAAAGCGCACACGTCTCTGCAGCCAGCTTCTGCCAGACTCCAGCAAAAACAATTCCATTATAGCCTCGTGTGCGTTGTTACTGAGCGTTTCCCCGGAGGGGTCTATTTAGGTAGACTAATTTGCATAATTAGGAGTAATTTACTTGTCCTGGGTGTTGTGGCCTAAGCTGTACTTTGGGAGTGCCCTGATGTTTTGCAAAGAATGTGCCAAGTCTTCAACGCCCCTGAGGCGTGGGGCGGTTCTTTAGAACTACGGAGGGCGCTGGTTCCTGAATGTGAATTTCATGTTTTGTTTTGTTTTGTTTTTTCTTAAAATTTGATGTTTTTTCCTTAAGTTAGCTTCACTACAGTAACGGCTGTATCTCTGCTCTAAAGCAGCTGCCTGTCAGCATCTCTTCAGCAAAACCAGCTGCGTGTGGTGACAATCCTTTAGCTCGACGACCCGGTCGGGCTGCAATTCGTAACCCCGCCCCACCCTCCGTGGTCCCAGCTGTGTACACCCCTAAATCCCCCCCAGCTCCCCTCGCCAGGTCGCGCCCCGCCGGGGGCGTGCGCGGGGGCGTGCGCGGGGCCGATCCCGCCGCCGCCACCGCCTCCCTGCGCCGCAGCCAATAGGCGGCCGGGGCGCTGCCGCGAGCGGCCAATCGGCGACGCGCTGCCGGCGGCAGCCCCGCCCCCGGGGCGTGCGGGCGGGGAGCCGCCCGGCGGGGCGCTTATAGCGGGCGGGCGGGCGGCGGGCGGCGGCGCCATCAGCAGCATGGAGGGAGGGCGGCAGGTGGCCAACTTCGGGGCCGGGCCGGCCAAGCTGCCGCGATCCGTGAGTGGGGACGGCACGGGACGGGACGGGACGGGGCAGCCGCGGTGGCGGGGCAGGTGGCGTTGCCTGCACGCCGCTTTTCACTTTTTTTTTTTTCCCCTTTCTATCTTTTTTTTTTTTTTTTTTTTTACTTTTCCCCCTTTTTCCATCCCCTTCCCTTTTTCTCCTTCTTTTCCCTCTCTTTTTCTTCCATTTTTTTTTCCTTTTTCCTCTCAGTCCCATCACGCCACAGCCCTTTATCACAAGCTCTGTCAGTTTTGGGGACGCCAGGCGTGAGGTGCCCGCCGGCTGATAACTCCCGTAGCCGCTCCGTGTCTCGTCTTCGTACGAGAAGGCGATGATACCAGAGCGCAGCGCAGGCTCAACTCCGCGGGGTGTTGCATCAGCACCATGGGCTGTCCGGCTGCATGCGGGGAGGGGGCGGTTTGTGCTGGGTTGTGCGGCTGGCTGTCAGCGTGGGGGCCGTGGCACGCTTGCTGCTCCTTTCTTCTTCATTTCTTAGTGATTTCTGTAAAGGGGCTTTTTTTCTTTTTTTTTTTTTTTTGCCCCTGTTTCTCCCTCATAAGCGTCCCTTGCAATCATGCTACGAAGACACTTGTTGCTCTGCCGTGCTGAGCAGAAAGGAGCTCCCCCTCGGTGCTGCTCCATCAGCCTCTCCCAGAGGATCCCGAGAGCTGCTTTTACTGTTGGAGGACTAAAACAGCTGAACTCCGTGTTATTAGTCCCTCTGGCCCTTTTGAAAATGCAGTAGCCTTGAGCCTTGACTGTTTCACTTTGACTCTGAGATGGTGCTGCATATGAGATGCTCAGACGCACTGAAGCAAGAAGGTGGACGGAGCTCTTCATGGATATTACAGGACATAAGTAGATGTTGTAAGGCACGTGCAGGTTGTCAGATGACGTTACTAATAGAATTTGATTTTATCGAGCTGTTAAAAAGACCTCTCTAACAGCCTGCATGTGCCTTTTGACTTTTTCCTCCCTCCTCCCTTTTTTTTTTTTTTTGCCATTAATGTGTTTGCGCATGAAATGCACTTGTTAAAATTTCATGGTCTCAAACATAAAAAAGCAGCACAGCTGTTCATGGTTGAGCTGCTGTGGACCAGCTGTTACAGCTGACAAGCCCCGCACAGACCCTGTCAGCAAGGTAGCTTGCTTGCTCCTACAGCTACGCGAAGCATGTGGTTTCTTGGCAGATCATACGGTGCGTGCGTACAGCCTTTGTTTTGGAGGCTTTTCCACTGGACTCCATCTTCTACTCCTTTTAGTAGGGGCTAAGAAAGTTTTGTTTCTAATAGAGGCATTCACTGAAATCAAAAGAAGCAAAACTGATGGGTAGAATCTAATTCCGCTTGGTTGATGCGTGAGAGCTGCAGGGGAAGAAAGAAACGTGAAAGGCTGAAGAAACAGATCATCAAGCCAAGGCTCCTAGGCACAACCTGTCTATTTTAGTTAACCCAGAACTATGTTTCATTCTTTTCTTCCAGTAACAGAGAAGACATCTTCAGACAGTGAGGGACTTCATTCTATGAAACCAGGCCTCGTACTATTGCGTCAGCATGAGGCATCCTCATGCTCTCATTAGATGTTTCCCTTAATACCTCACTTTGCCTATTTGTAGCAGTCAAGTGAAATAACATGGGAGAAAAATAAGGTCCTTGAGTAGTAAAAGCACACATGCAAATATTAAGCCTTCTGTAAGAGATAGGGAGTTCAATCCAACTCTTAAATGTCATTCTGAAGTAATCTGGAAAAGTAGTTATTGAAATAATAACTTGAAATGCAGAGTTTCCACAAAAAGCATGGGTTTAAATTATTATTTATTTTTTTTTAAGACAAGCCTTCAGATGCAATTAAATTATATAATGTCTATTCTGTTAATTTAACTTGAGAAGTGTCAGGTTATTACATTATGGAGCAGTTGGTATGCGTATGATGCATCAAATATTTCAGATAGTGGATAATTCCCTTAATTTATTTGTGGATTTTTTTGTTTATTTGTTTTGTTAGGTACTGCTGGCAGCACAGAAAGAACTGGTGGACTACAAAGGCCTTGGCATTAGTGTTCTTGGTAAGGCTTTAAAAATTCTGTATGTCTTTCAAAGTGTAGATGCTTAACTAAACTTCTCAATAATAGCTTTTGATCTCGATATTTCTGCTGAATACCTCTTTTTATTTTGCAATACCTTATTTCTGGTAACATATATCCAGAGAATATTTCAAACCGCTCTTTTCTTTGCTTACCATTCATCCAGAGTATCATAAAATGATACACAGACAGCTGTTTAGTAATCCAACACAAAGGAATAGAGACAAAAGTAACTAATCATAAGTAAAACATTAGTGCTTTCGGATCTTTAGGGAGTTGCTTGGCTTTTTGTTTACATGAAATAACATAAAATTTGTTTATGTGGGTCTACACATACTACACACTTATATGCATATGTTTATATGTATCTAGGTAGAGTATTTTGCATACTGTGTGGCAACACTTCAGATGTATTTGATGTTAAGCATCCTTCCCATTAGTAAGTCAATGCAGTCCTACCATAATGAGGAGTTGTATTATATGCAATTTACATAACTGACTCATTTTTCATCCCCAGTTGCGGAAAAAAATATGCACGAACATGCCCAGCATTTTACTAGCCCTGTGAAACTGTTTTGTTGCTAAAAGTAGAACATGCAGCAGTCTCTGCAGCATGGGGATTCATGTTTAAATTGTTCACTCTTTCAAAGCGAAGAAAGACTATGGTTTAATAAAAGAAATTAATATTCAGTAGTCTTAACTTCTAATTAGGATTACTGCATAATGAAGCTGTTTTAAAGTAAAAGAACAAAACATGCCCCCTGTGCTGCTGAAGCAAGTACAGAGTAAAGTAATAACAAAGAACATTTTTAGAGTAAGGAAACTTGCACCTTTCTAGGGAATATTTTTCTTCACTTAGATACACCCCTTGTTTGTTCCTGGGGGTAGTAGGGTCATGTGAGTGACAAATGTGAATTGACTGTATTTGCATGGATCTGGACAAGACAGGAGGTGTAAGGCTGGGTATTTAGGAAGGCTCAACAGAACTAGGAGTTGGACCTGGAAATGGGAGCCTTTGGGTATTTGGGGTCTGTGAGTGTAAAATCTTTAAAGCTTAACACAACTTTTAAAATTGCATTCATTTATTAGCATTTTGTTTCATGCTCTTTTTTTTTTTTTTCCCCACTAAAGAAATGAGCCATCGAACTGCAGATTTCACAAAAATTTTAAATACAGCTGAAAATCTCTTGCGTGAATTGCTGTAAGTGAATTATTTCCTTTTTATTTTTAGTTTGGTTATTATTAGTGCAACTATAACATGTAGAGAACTGTCCTTGAAAGCACTTTTTATGTTTAGATACTACATCTAATATTGGAGAGGACATTGGTCTTCCTTTGTCTGATGCTGATTTATTTGAATGTAGCAAAGGGTTTTTATTAGGTTAAGATCCTTTTCACGTGACTGCTATAAGCTGACTCAGTAACTTAATTTGTTTCATCTTCATGGAATTCATGTAGTGCAGCAACTTTCTTAAGAAGTGGAAATAGCAGAAAACTGTTCTGATTGCATAGAAGTGTTCTACGCACTCATTACTTAACTGATTGTATTAACAGATATATGGATGTGTTTTAGGATGACTGGTATGGGGCCGTTTTCGTATCTGTAATGTGACACATTTAAAAAACTTTAAAATATAGGTATTTATATCATGTATTAAAATTAATGCATCAGAATTAATGTATAGTTCTCATAGTAGTTTAAAATCATGGCTCTTTTATATGAAGGCTTGACTCTTAGTCAAAACTATAATTATTGACAGCAGAGCTTTCATAAGTAATTTGAACAACTAATTTTTGTGATGGTATAAATCGCTCCTCGTGGCACTTGCTCCACATGTACAACTTACTATGCAGTTGCACTTGCAAAATTTTAAGGCTCTCAAAGCTGAATTCTGCTTCAAGAACTTTGGTGTGAAACTAGCTCAGAATTCAGGAAACTCAGAAAGTTAGCAACAGGCAGTATTTCAGCTGAGCTAATTCTGCTGGAATGATGTTCAAGTTTGTGTGTACTATGATAGAAGAGCTACACAACTATTTATTTGTAGCTGTCTGAGACAAAGCTTGCTTGTTTCTAGAAAACTTATCAATTCAATATATAGCACTATTCCTTGAGTTAATACTCAATGTCAGTGCAGAGGGAAGTTAGCAGCGTTGAGATTAACCTCTCCAAAAGGTGTTTTCTGAATTCTTCTTCTGTATTGTTGCAGTCAGATGGCAGTATTTTTCCTCTGTATGGTTGCAGTCAGATGTATAATAGCAAGGAGTATGCATCCTTTGTCTTTGGGAAATAAAATAAATGTTATGTTTCTTGCATGCAGAAATATACCAGAAAACTACAAAGTTATTTTCCTCCAAGGAGGTGGATCTGGTCAGTTCAGTGCAGTCCCACTTAACCTTATTGGCTTAAAGGAGGGAAGACATGCGGATTATGTGGTTACTGGAGCTTGGTCAGCAAAAGCAGCTAAAGAAGCAGAGAAGTATGCCAAAGTGAATATTGTTCATCCGAAGCTATCAACCTACACAAGTAAGTTGATGATTACATCCGTCCACATGAATACTTACCTTTCTGAATTGCTCTAAAAACTGGCCTGTCTCAGCTACGGAGTTATTGAATGTTAACAAGTTAAACAGTTGACTGACCAACACTCAGAAAAAACTGTCTGCCACATGTTCATGACTGGAAGACCTGTTAGATAGCTTAATGGTCTCCAGGAGAGAAGAATTTTGAAGCTAAGTTGAGCAGAACCCAGAACGTGAGTGGTAAGAAGGAAATATGTATTGATAAGGAAATTACACAGGCTTTTTTTAGTTATGTTTTAACTCGGTGTTTAAGCTATTTGCAAAGATATTGTTTATGTTGTTCAGTTTCAGATACATTTGATAATGAGATTACTTTGAAATTTAGAAGCATGTCTGGATTCTTTATCTTGTTGGTCCTGGAGATGGGTGATACGCATTCAGTTACAGTCTTCCAAGAGTTTGCAAAACTCATCTCCTGATGGTGTGTCATAACAGATGGTTGGCTCTGGAGCAGGAGATGCATATCCAACTCCTTCTCTTGAAGCTTGTTACTGGACATGACATAATTTGAAAGACCACTGTTTAGGAGAAAGAGAAAGGTTAACTGCAACTGAGGTGTTGGCGAATTCTTGTGAGAAAACCTGTTTCAAGGACACTTTATATGTATACTCTACGTAGTGACTAGTTATAAATAAATAATTCTTGGAGCAGGGATAGTTGAGTTCTGGTTTCTACTTCTGCTAGTTTGTCCTCATTTTTCTTCCTTATGGTCCAGGTTATAGCATTTGAACTGGGAAGAGTGGCAACTGGAAAGGCAAAGAATATCTTCCAAATGAGTTAGTGCCCAAATTGCAATTTAATGTATTAACCTGGAAGATGAGCTTGTATCGTCGGAGGCACAGGAATTCGTTGCACCTACAGCTTCCCATTACTGGTGGTTATATTGACCATTTGGCAGCTCTAAGTAAGGGGAGAGTAAATAATAGCAGAGGCAATAGCAGCATTTCTCCTAATGTTTTGGAGGTGTGGAGAAGGGAGGAACAACCATTTGTTTTACGCAAAACCTGTGCTGTGCTGTCAGGGCATGCCTGTAAATTGCTTGTTGACAGATTCAAATCTTTGTTTTATAAATCCCTTTCAGGGCTTAAATAGGAGTTAGGTAACCATATGTTCAGCTTGGACCAGACTGAAAATGCTTCTGGGGATGCATAGAAACAGTTTTAGACAACATTACCGGTGAGAATTTGAATGCTGCAGTTGTTCCAAAGGCAAGTAGAGGACTCTCAGATCCAGAATCTGAGATTCAGTTTTAGACCTCTAGGGCTGTAGTTTCTCATCTGTGATTGCAAACCTGATGAAAATCCCTTGAGGAGAAAGGACTGAAAATCAGATGGGTGCCTGCAAGCCTAATGATGGCTTACTACAAAACTTTGGGAATGTGTGGGTGTATTTACTTTGCAGGTACACTGTATCTTTGTGTTAATAAGATAATTTTTACTTTATGCTGCAAACTCATTCCAGGTCTGCACTGGAAAGTCCAGTGTTAAAGTAAAACAGCGTGCCAGGAAAATTATATGTCTTTAGTGACCTTTGTTTTTCATTTTGTCTCGCTTAGACATTCCAGACCCAAGCACTTGGAATCTCAATCCAGATGCATCTTATGTCTATTACTGTGCTAATGAAACAGTTCATGGTGTGGAGTTTGACTTTGTACCCGATGTCAAAGGTGCAGTTTTGGTTTGTGATATGTCATCAAATTTCCTGTCAAGACCCGTGGATGTTTCCAAGGTACTGTACAGTTTGAGGGGGGAAAAAAGGGGGGATAATGGGAGGGGGAGAGTCTTAATAAATTCATCTTGTTTTTCCCTGATCTGCTTCTCTTTGAACAGGTGGGTTATATGATCCCTCTTCTGAAATACCTGATAGGTTGAAAATATTGCTGTCTCTTAACTTCTTTTCAGTAAATTTGCTTGGAGTAGGGTGAAATAGGACAGCTTGCTTTGAGAATTATTCTTGACTAAACATTTGTAACATTTTGTAAACATGAAGTAAACATTTAGCAAATTATTGGAAAGCTTGTTAAATGTGGTCTTTGTCAGTTGAATGAAGATACATGGTTCTGACATATGAGATCACAATTACAGCTGTGAGTGGGTTTTGAAATCAGAACTTCTAGCCTATCTTTGACTCTGACTTGCTCATTTTTGACACGTTCTCCAAACTGTTCCATTGTTAAGTTGTACACTTTTTGTATAAAGTTGTACACTTTTTGTATAAAGATATGTATAAAGTATGTTATTCAGTTATAAGATCACCTAGTGATCTCATTAGTTCAATTCCTTCTTTTCTTCTTTCTGTTAGTTTGGTGTGATTTTTGCTGGTGCTCAGAAGAATGTTGGCTGTGCTGGAGTTACTGTTGTAATAGTACGTGAGGACTTGCTGGGATTTGCACTGAAGGAATGCCCGGTAGTACTGGATTACAAAACACAAGCAGCGAATGGCTCTTTGTATAACACTCCACCATGCTACAGGTAACTTACCCTGCTTTTTAATATCCATTATTCAGAAAGCTACTGCACTGCCATCTGCTGTGCTTGTCAAAAAAAGTTTCAGAAGTGGGTACTGCTTGCCTTCATGCAACTGATACGTTGGAGTGTTTCACATGATTCCTGTGAAAACATCTGAATTAATTGTAGTAGGCTTTGTTGCCCTGTGGAATTGGCCATAAGGAATATAATATTTTTAGAAGTAAGTATTATGTATCGTAATTCCATTGTAGAAGTTTCAGTATCTAGTTCTCAGACTTAAATGAATCCACCTTTAGTCAAGTACAGTGCTGATGATTCTATCATTGCAAATAGATAACTTAGCATTTTAACCTTGTTGCTTGAATGCTCATAACAGATTTAATTTCTTCCTGAGAGACTGCTCTCAGCACTTGAACCTCAGTATCCTTTTCTACTTTCTTTGATAGAAAATAATAAACGACATTATCATTATTAAAGGTTCTAATGTTTTAAAAACACAACCTTGTAATATTTTATATTTTTTGAGTATTTCTTGCTCTAGATACATCACTCACTACTGTGGATTTTGAAATGAAACTAGAGAACATAAGTTTTTTTTTAAAAGGTGTTTTACTCATTGCTTTACCTTGTTGTCTGCTAAAGCTTTCCATATGTCTTCAGATATCACACCAATTCTTGACTTGGCATTCAGAAATAAAATGGGTCAAGCTATATTGACTGCTAGCAATTAAGATCACAAAATTGACATGTACCTGATGATTTCATGTACGCACGAAGCAAAACAGACTGCAGCTTGTTTTTTTAAAAAATTAGGGTAGTCAGATAGTCAATAGCTAGCCAAATGATGTTTCGTTACTGGAATGTTTAGGCATTGAGCCATTGGTTTCTACTGCTTCTTAATAAGGCTGTTCTAAACTATTTAATTTAATGAGTTTTAGAGTATTTTTATACTAATGCAATGCCTGCTAAAACAGTTATTTGAAAAAAAGAATAAAATCTTAAAAAAAATACCACCTTTTCCCAGATTTATTTATTTTTTTTGCAATATTTCAAAAATAATTGGTTTTACTGTCTAAGATAGAATTTCCTGTTGATTAGAGATAATGTAATTGCATACTGGAGATATTTAAGCTCATCTCTTTGAGCCTTTCTCATACAGGCCAGAATTTGCAAAGGTAAGATGCCTAATGTTGTCCAGCAGATGTCAAATGCACCGTGTCAGCATGAAATGAAATGATACCTGCACATAGGATATACCTTAATAATTCACTTACTTAAATTCAGTAGAATTTTAAGTGGTACTTATTGTATTTCTGAATCTGCTGATTCGCACTATGGTGTGAATTATTGCAAAGGTATAGACACAGTTATCTTAATTTATAAAAAAAAAAAAACAACAACAACAAAAAAAAAACAGCAACAGTAAATTCTGTGCCCATATAGTCATTTCAGACTTTGATGCACAACTGGAGTTCTCCAAAGCAGCATGAACACTATGAAGTATTGCTGTAATGAGGTGCTCTTGCAGCCATTCAGAGACTGCCCTACTGGCTGAATACACCCAATATCATTAAGGCTTATATTTAAGAGAGGAATTAACCTTGGTGTTACCAGATGTTTGTCTTCCTGCATGTAGGTTTGTTACATGGGCAGTGTGCATGCTTTTTTTTTTCTTTTTACAGCGATTGATAAAGCCTCTATTTCATGACTGATTATTTTCCTGACTGCCAAGTCACACACACTGTTTTGGATGCTCTGTACTTGCACATGCCAGGTTTTAAATCCAGCCATTCATGTCTTCCAAGTACAAAGCTATTTTCATTTAAAAAAAAAAACAAAAAAAAACCACCACAGAGTTCTACTTAATCTCAGCCCTGGAACGCTGATGCTTCTCTGGTTTGAAAAACAAAACAAAAATTAAATTCTGCAGTTTAATTTTATTTTAACCACTGTAAGTAATATCTAAAAAGAAATTGCTGCTTTAGCTGTAACCCAGTATGTTAGGAACTTTAATAGGATAGTGGGAAACCAAGGAAACTGAAAATAAAGGTTGTTCTAACAATTTTCTTTCTAATCACTGCCTTGCCAGATTTCACTCTGTGCTACAGACCCACAGTGGAGTGTACTCCAGAATCCAAAATGTAACAGACTGAGTTGTTGGCAGGGTGCACGTCTGTTTGGCTTGGTTCTTAATGCCTGTTCCAGTTTTTGTAAGGAACTGGCAAAGCTTCTTAACTTTTTTCTCTCCTCTTTTCCTTGCACTCTCTAATGGTTTGCTGGCAAACAGGCAGGAAATACTAACAGAATTTGTAAAAGCTACTTCAGCAGGGTGTTAAATTAAATTAAGGTGATGCTAATGGCTTTAACCTCTTGGTGTTAGAGAGCTTGACTTTTTGACCTTAATCTACTTTGCTAAAATTAACAATGAATTTGCTATAAAAATCTAATTTTCAAGCTACAAGGGTTTATTTTGCATTTAAAGTTGCTCCAAGACCATTATTTTTTACTGACATGGGAGACAGATGAAAGGTTTCAGCTGGCTGGATTGCTTTTGTGGATGACTCCAGGGCTGACTTCTTAAAACCTTACTTGTCTAAGAAGTTTCGCTTGAGGAAATGAGAGCAAGAGATGAATGTGGCCTTGTATAGTTGTCAAGGGTGTAGGCTGTACTTCACTTAAATCCTTCGCACTGCAGTTGTTGGCAGTCTGCTGTCATAAATGTGGCAGGATTGTCCTCTCAAATCTGTAAGGTGCTTTCTATCTATAACACACAGTCTGTAACCTCACTTCTGAAGTCTTTCTGAAGTCTTCAAAGATTTGAGACTGACATCCCTGGAGAAATTAAAAAAAAAAAAAACAAAAAAAAAAACCCTCCTGTTAGTTTGGTGTTAAGGGAAACTTGTAGGGTAACACTTTCCGAGTACTCCCTTGGAATCTGTAATGAAGGGATTAATAAAAACAAACCTGTTGGAAATGTGCCTTAAAAACTTGTGAACAGTTCATTATGCAAAGTGTTGTAGTCGTGGGAAATGCCTGAACTTGAGCAGGCTGAGTTTTGTAGCAAAAGCACAAAGGCAAAAGGCCTTGGGGATTTTTTTTATGTTGCAGTGAGTAACTGGCATTGGAATACTTGGTCCCTAGACATGTGATTTCAGTATGCTTCCAGGTCTCTGTTTAAAGTTGAATGGTAATGAATAATTAAATGTAATACATTCATTGTTTGTTTCACCAAACATCACTGTTCATGAGGGAAAAAGATCTTTTCAGACAGAAATGGGATTATAGGTTTTATTCTTAATGTTTGTGAATGTGATTAGATTTCTAGCATTATTAGTGAACATACATTTGAGATTCACCCCCTACATCATTTCTGGAGCAGCTTTGCAGGCTTTATACCACCAACTTTAGTGCTAACTCCAGACTGAGAGGCAGTTGTGGGATAAATATACTGGTAGTTCGTGAAAAATGTCTGGGATATCCTTGGGAGCTCTGCAGGGCTAAGGGAAACCAGCAGGACTTGTACTTCTGTTGTTCGAAGCGTTAGGTTTGGTACAATAGATTTGTGTAGCGTTTGAATTTCAGGATACTTCATCTGGGTCCAAATAAAGCATTTCTGCTTAGAAATGTCATATTTTTGAATGTACTTCAGACTGAGTTGTTAATCATCTTAACAAGCAACTTAAAATCAAACATAACATTATACTGCTGAAACATTTTGTGGACTGTTAAAGAGTACCGTGGGTTTTTTTGGTTATTGTTTGTTTTGTTTTTAAGTCTGACTAAAACGTTTTCTTTCGTTGCAGTATCTACATCATGGGGCTGGTACTGGAATGGATAAAGAATAATGGTGGAGCTGCAGCCATGGATAAACTTAGTTTAATCAAATCACGAATGATTTATGATATCATAGACAAATCTAATGGATTCTATGTGTAAGTTGCTGTATTTGCTTTCAACATTTGTACAGCCAAACACATTAATAACTTTGAGTCTATATGCAGCATACTTTTAAAAGTATGGAAACTGAAATGTAAATACTTTTTCAATATGAAGAAATTTTGAGGAATCGTGAAATCCTAGAGGGATTATTTGTGCAGAGCATTCACTTGATAACTATCCAAGGATGAGTTTCAGTCTGATAGAACATTATTTCCAGTTATCTGCACAGATGATAAGTTGAGAAACACTTACAAAATGTGAGAGCCTAGGAGAAGCCTGTACTAAAAGCAGGTTGTAACACCTCCTACTTAGTATGCTTACTGAATCTCTTTGAGGAAATATAGGCCAAAAAAAGAGATGTGGCTTGTAAAAAGTTACTCAGAGGAATTCCGCATCATATCCTTTCTTACCATCTCTTCAGTAGTCAAAGCTTTGCTTTTTCTCTGTCGATCAGAGCATCTTTATCAGTTAATTGTGCTAAACTATGAAACAATTCCAGAGATAGCAGGGGGAAGATCAAACCTAGCTGTATTCAAAACATAAACTGTACATAAAGAATGTTTTAGTTTCAGATATTTCTGCTGTTTTTTCAAAGCAGGTTTAACCCTCTGATTTTTACATATGGTTGTATGTATTTTGCTTACAGGACCCAAAGTATCTGTAGCTAAAAGCTGATTTTTGTGATAGGGAATAATTAGTTTAATGCGCACCAAGTTTAAAAACTAGTAGATGACTGAGACTACAAAATGTTTTCCTTTCCCTTCAGAATAAAGTCAAAAGATTTGGGATCTGATTAGTTTTAGAGTCAAAGTTAGGATAGGGAAATTAAATTTGGATTTTAAATCTGAATTGGCTGCAACCTTAATCAGCAAGGAGCTAGTTACATTATAATATTCAATGTGTTCTGCTTATCCATTTAGTTAATGAGAACAGCTTTGCCTTTGGCATTGTAATGATCAGGATTGTGATCCTGCTCTATTGAAATCCTGAGGGCTTTTCCATAAACCTCAATGGGCAAATCAAGCCTCGAGAAAACATTTTATGGCAAATAAGAAATCCTTATTTTTGGCAAGTGGTCCTGTAAAGCTGAGTGGGGAAATGCAATGCAAATAGGATGGTAAACAGGCAATTGAGAAAACAAAGCAAACTTCACTAACTGATCTGTATGCATCTTACTAAGCAATGCAGTTTAAGTTGTTTTAGTCATCAATACAATTAAAAAAATCCAGTCTTATCTGAAGCTGCCTTCCCAGCTGTAATGTACCTCCTAATCCAGGGCATGCTTCACTGGGTAATCAGTGTCACAAGCCTTTGGCTGGATGGAGACTTCTTCTGTGAAGCTCTGTGTGCCATAGGCAGTTTGTTGCTTTCTAAAATCTGTGCACTAACAACATGCACTGAGTTATGTTGGATTGCCTAATGCTTCTTTAAGGAGAACCAGTTACTATAGCATAGCTACAGTTCTTCAAATGCGAGAGCACTTACAAGCATAGGCCTTTTCAAAGAGTGTTTTCCTGGTTATGGCTGAAGTAGAAAATTTGCAAATGTAGATATTATGTTCAATTTCTTCTTCATCATGAAAACATCAGTAGAAAGGAACTAGGCGAGAACTCAAAAAACAATTCCTGCCACAAACAAATAAAACCCTCAACCATCCTTTGTCAAATAGAATAATAATAGAGTTCACATGCTGGTTTTTGGGAAAAAAACTAATTCCTAACAAATCCCTGCAAGAATTTACATCACACCCTTGGGGGGAGATATGAAGACTTCATGTTTCCTTTGTAACCAGAAGCACTAAAGAAAAATATTTAAATGCTTCCCTGCCAACCTCCCACCTCAGCCCTATTCTTGCTTTCACAAAGTAATTGAATAGAAATTATGCTTTCAATAGATCTTAAATTTTCTAGTTTGGACTAACAGGAATTTTAAGGAATTAGAGCTGTGATGCTTGTCCTAGATGTTGTGGCCATGCGTGTAATTCAAGATTATTTTTTTTCTAGACATCTCTTTTCTCCCTGAGATATGTTCCTGATTCTTAATAATACTTTAAGACTGATGTAGAGTGGGGACTGAAACCACTAACAAAAGTCCCTAATGTTAATGGAAATTTACTACGTTTTTGTATGTGCTTTACTCTTGTTTAGCTTGGTCTTTAGCTATCCTAGGGAATGCAACTGAGACTGTCCCGAATGAGGTTGCGAGTTTTAGTTTATTTACTTTTCTTAGCTTGTTCAATTCACTGGCCTTCTGCATGTTCATTAGGGGCAATTTTAGGTATGTCAGGGTTAATTAGACTTCCGCTTACTATTACTCTAATTATACTTGATTGAAAAAGGCAGGTTGCTTTCTTTCACAGAAATTAACAGTCACTTTCATTATGGAATGGTGGCTTTGATGCTCAGCAGGTAAAAAATATTTGCTTTCTGAAGTTATGTATAGCTGAAAATGTAAATTTAGCAAAAACCAAAAACTATTACATTTTGCAACTTCTCCAGATGTCCAGTGGAGAAGAAGAACCGAAGCAGAATGAATGTCCCCTTTCGCATTGGCAATATCAAGGGCGATGAAGCCCTGGAAAAGAAGTTCCTTGAGAAAGCTGTGGAACTTAACATGTTATCCCTGAAAGGACATAGGTAAGTACTAGACTGAGACAAATCCCTTTGCTATGCAGAATAAAATCTTATTACAGTGATAAAGCAGGAGGTATTGTGTATTGACTTACCAGCTTTCTGCTTACAAGCTGTACCTCATATTGGTTTGAGAGCACTGGGAATAGCGGTCTGGAGACTGTAATCAGAAACTGCTGGTGATTCAACTATGGCTTAGGTGTGATGGGGCTCACTTAATTCTGTCTTCTTCTCCGGTTTGATTAATATGTCTTGTCTCTGTTCAAGTGCCTAAGAAGGTGACACTTGATCAGATTCTGTCATTGTGTAAAGCCTCCATTACATGGTTAATCCCCTGGGCTGCAAGAGTTCTTTTCTGTGCTACACTGGTGTTTGTGGGATTTAAAAAGTTAGATTTCTTTTTTTTATATATATTGTAAATCTACAGTGTTGGAACTGTAAGTAGCTAATAAATACTGAGTTTCTGTAGGTTGCATGCTTGCCTTGAGTTTAAATGTTGCCTCTTAGTCATGTAAAATGAATACTATCCTGTTGGGGTAGGGATAAATGTAAATATCTGTGAATGCTATTCACATATTTTTTTATTTTTTTTTAGCATATACAAAACCCTTCTATTTTTTCTCTCTTTTTCAATTCAGATCTGTGGGAGGAATCCGTGCCTCTTTATATAATGCAGTGACTGTGGAAGATGTTCAGAAGCTTGCAACATTCATGAGAAGCTTCATGCAGATGCATCAGTCATAAATGCTCATGGGTTAGAGCCATGCTGCACATCTGTGAAATGAAAGTTAAAGGGTTTTAAAATTACTGTGGTTCTGCACAGCTGTAGCGCACAAGTTATATTTTCTTTTAGTTTCAGTAGCTATTTTAGTTAACAATACGGGATTTAGGCCCAATCTTGCAAGGGTTTGGCAGCTTTGGCTTGTCTCCAAAGGTGGGGATCCCAGACCGATCAAGATTGGAACCAAAATTTGCAAAGCAATATTCTTAACATGTAGTTAGCCATGAGTAACGTTGTAAGATGCTATGAATCTCATTCTGACCTTAGATATGCCACTGTACTACTTAGTTGAAATCAGCCACTCTTTGATTATACATATACCTGGAATAGGAATTCACACTACAATTTGAATTGAGGAAGAACTCACCTATTACTTGTTTCTAGTTACAATGACTTCTTCAAAGATACCTTGTTCTGAGTAAACTTCCGAAGGCAAGATGTCTCATAAGCTTTCAGTAGAGCTTTATAAATGATTTTACTATATGACTGCACAGTAAGTGTTGAACTAATGTTAAGTGTTCTCTAAGGATATCTAGTTGGCTTATCAAATATATCTCAATGGTATACCACTAGTAGTTTTTGGGAGTTAATACCTATTTTCCTAACTTAAGGCCATTACCTTCAGACCTTTGCTCCCATGTGATAAGTGCTATTATGATAGTCCTGTGTAATACACACTAGTTAAGTCTGTAGCACTGGGCTTCTTCTGGTATTACCATTTATTGGTTGAAAGCTAAGATGCATGAATCTATAATCAAAACAATTTCTGAGACGTTGCTTATTTCTCTATGCATTTTATAGTTTGAACTTTTTTAGGTTATTAATTTTATATTCTGTGGAGTGTACATATTTGATGCTCCTACCAAAACCCTGATGTTCTAAGGTATTAACCTTGTGCCAAACTGGATTGTTGAATTCCACTCAATGTGGCTTTATCTGCACCAACTTCCTAGTCCAAAATGCACCAAACTTTCTTGTCTGGTGGTGCTTAAATATCTTTCCCCTCTAACTGCTCCAGTGTTTTCTTAGCCTCCTCACCGATCAGTTCTGTCACCTTTTGTATGTTGGGCTCTGCACAAGTACTGTAAGTGAAAGTCTCAACTTCTCTACCTGTTCCTGACACTACATTACACGGTCCAATTTTCTCACTTGGGCCTTGTGGCTTATTCCAGACTTTGATACTCTGGAGTAAGGAAGAAACTGTGGTTATGCAAAGATCTTCAGAAGGTCTTTTATTGTAATACCTTTCATGGGTTACTTTTCCTTCTTCACCTGTGAATTTGTTGCCAATTATTGTATATTGGTACTAGCTTCTTATTATAAATGACATAAAGCTGGTATCACAAGGTTTAGCATTACTGCAACTGGTTTCATACTGCAAACTCTTGATAAAGAATTAAGTCTTTTTTTTTTTTTAATGTCAGTACAGTGGTAACAATTCAATGGTAATGATGGACTGCTTCTTTCCTTGTGGAACCTTGCGACAAGTTAGTGGAGCTGCACAAGGGGTGAATTACTTTCCTATTTGAAAAGTCATTATTTTATGACTGCTGTTAGGAGATTTTTTTTGTCAATTTAATGTAATTCACAGTAATTAAATGAATTGGGTCAAGACAATAAAACTTGTCACAGCATGCTGTGAAGTACCAATGTGTCTGAAGCTTTTGTTTGTCACACCTTCAGGAAGATGAGAGTTTTATGCACAGTATGTGTTAGAATTCTAGCTTCCAGTATCAACATTTCCCTCAATTATTTGCAATTTTTTTTTCCTGGATTTTTTTTCTTACAACTAGCGTGGGAAAAAGAAGAGTATTACTGTGAGATAAAGCTTTGAGAATGCTTTTTTTTTTTTTTCCTTGCCATTCACGAAGATTTAATTCAAGATCTATATTACAGCTATTTAATTCTTTAATTGAAATTATGCTTCCTCACAAATTTTGTATACTTGTTTTCAACAGTAACTGTGGCTCATGCCTCCTTCCAAAAGTTAGTAAATGCCTCAATACTACAAAAGCCTCCCATTCTTCTTAGCAGGCACACTTTCCCTTATGGTAACAAAGAAGCTTGAACTGCTGTATGCAGCTGGTTCATGGACCCAACAGGGAACCTCTTTGCTTCTTCTGAATTGTGCCTAACATGTTGTCAATAAAGAATTCTACTTTTACCAAGAAGGGCAAAAAAAATGTGTAAAAGCAAAATCCAAATTGAAGCTTAGAATTGGACATTAGCAGAGTGATGACTGAGTGAATGTCATGTGAGAGGGATGCGTGAATGTTAGGAACACTGGAACATACTGAATTGATTAGTTGCTTGAGATTTGTTCTAATCTCATTGATGCAAGTTTTACCTTTTAGAGATTGTTGTCAAGCTGTGTCCCTGAAAGAGCTAATCTCTGGGAATAATCAGGATATTGAGCCATGCTGGATGGAGATGGAGAAATCCTAGTTCTCCTCATCAGATTACCAAGAGGAGTTCAGCAAAGGGCTGCTGAGAGCCCTGGTCTGTTTCTGTTATGTCAACACTTCCAATGCTTATGTCAAGTCAATATTTGCACTGTTTGGAAGTGGGGCTCTTTCTGATGTGATAAATATTCCCAAGGCTTTCAAAGGTGTTGACAAAGTAAAATACTGGTCTCATCTGAGTTTGCGCACGTGGAGAAGCTGTTGTAAGACGAATTATGTTCCATGAACAGTCCTTTCAATTCCTCCACTAGTGAGCAGTCTATCACAGAATCAAGTCACATCTCCTAGCTTCTGTTTGTGCTTTCACAAAAGGAATTGCTAGCCTTCTCTTAAGTTTGTAATACAAAAGTCTGGGCCTAGTGAGCGGTGAAAGCTCCTAAGGTTGTACTCTCCCTGTTTCTGCCCTGCATAATGAGGAGTGTTTGAGCCCAGGTGAGAAAAACTGTGTATTGGGAAGGTGTCCTGTTTCAGGGGACTCCTGTCACTTGTGTTTGTGTCTTTCTTCAGAGGAAGAGGATCAAATCAGGGAATACTTAAGCAAACAACATTTGCAAGTCTGTGGGCTCTGATGGGGTGCACCTATGAGTACTGAGGGACCAGGCAAATGTGATTGTGAGGCCACTCTCAATCTTTGCTCAGTCATGACAGCTGGGAGTAGTGCCCAAAGACTGGAGGAAAGTGATAGGATGTCACCCCTATCTTCAAAAAGGGCAAGGAGGACCCAGGGAACTACAGCAGTCCGTCTCACCTCAGTCCCTAGGAAGACGGTGGAACAGCTAATCTTGGAAACCACTTCCAGGCCCATGAAGGAGAAGAAAATCATGAGTAGTCAGCATGGTTTCACTAAGGAGAAGTCATGTTTGAACAACCTGATAGCCCTCTGTAATGAAATCACCATCCTGATGGATGAGGGGAACAGTGGGTGTTGTTTTCTTGGACTTCAGTAAGGCCATTGACACTGTCCCCTATAAGATCTCTGAGAGAAGCTGTTGAAATATGGGTTGGATGAGCAGACTGCGAGATGGGTCAAAACTGGCTGAATGGGTAGACCTACAGGGCAGTGGGCAGTGGTGTATGGTGTAGCTGGAGGTTAGTAATGAGCAGAGTATCCCAGGGGACGATACTGGGTCCAGTCCTATTTAACTCCTTCATTAACTCTCTTGATGATGGGGCAGAATGCACAATACATAAATTTGCAGGTGATGTGAAATTGGGAGGACTGCCAAACCCAACAGAGGGTTGTGCTGCCATCTGGAGGAACCTTCACAGGCTGGAGAGAGAGACTGACGAATCTTAAAAAGTTCAACAAGGAGAAATCCTATGTCCTGCACATGCGGAGGAGCAACTCTGGGGACCAGTACGTGCTGGATTACACCCAGCTGGAAAGCAGCTCTGCAGAAAAGAAGCTAAGAGCCCTGGTGGACACCGAGTTAAACATGAGTCAGTGATGTGCCCTCGCTGCTAAGGCTAGTGGTGTATTCTTGGTTGTGTTGGGCAAAGTATCACCAGTAGGTCAAGAGAGGTAATCCTTGCCCTCAGCACTGATGAGGCCACACCTAGAGTACTGTGTCCATTTCTGGGTCCTCCAGTACCAGTGAGACATGGACAAACTGGAAAAAGTCAAACAGAGGGCCACCAAGATGATCAGGGGACAGGAGCACCTCCCCTTGTGAGGATAGGCTGAGAGAACTCGGACTGTTCAGCCTGAAGAAGAGGAGGCTCAGGGTGGGGTGGACCTTATCAATGTCTGTAAATAACTTAAGGGAGAGTACAAAGATGATGGAGCCAGGCTTCAGTTGTGCCCAATGCCAGGACAAGAGTCAATGGGCATGTAGTGGAACACAGGAGGTTATGTCTTAGGATCAGGAAGCACTTCCTTATTGTGTGGGTGGTGGAGCGTTGGAACAGGTTGCCCAGAGAGGTTGCGGAGTTTCCATCCTTGGAGATCTTCAAAAGCTGTCCTGGACCAACCTGCTTTAGGTGTCTCTGCTTGAGCAGGGGGGTTGGACCTGTTGACCTCCAGAGGTCCCTTCCAACCTCTACCATTCTTTAATTCTGTGATTTCAGTGATGCAGTTATGGTACTATCTCCAAACCCAGCACAAGACAATGAAATAAGAATCAGAACTCTGGTTTGGCACATCCTTATTTAGGTAATCCTGGTGGAAGAAAATTATTTGTACAAACAGAAATGTGAAGAGTCCTGCCTGTCTGTCAGCTGATAGTCTGCACTTTCATATTTTTTCTGTTTCTGTTTAATCCTGTTTTTTCTTTTCAACTCTGTAAGTGGTTTAACGTTTTAAGATGTACCAGATTGTGTTTGGCTGGCAAAAGTTTAAGCCTCATCCTGATTTTCGAGTAAATGTCTGGAGTGAAACAGGAATAAAAAGTAAAATAGTATCATAATCTGATAGACTGGAAATTGTTGAAGTATGCTGAAAGCATCATTAGACCTGGCACTGTATCAGTATATGATTAATGTTTGCTGTATTTCATTCTCTGGATAGGAAATAAAATGAGGGTGAACCTCTTCATATTTGATAAGAATGTACATAATTAGAAAGTGAAATGTTACAAGGTTTTACATGAAATCAATCACTTTAATTGGAAAGAGGTATCCCCATTTCTGTCGTTAATTGGACTCTTGATAATTTAAAACCAGGATTCATGACACTCTTTGATAAATTGTCCCTTTTTGGCTAAAGAAGCTAAGAAGTTATAATTACCCGTGGATTACTGAATGGTTGGAGGAGCTTGATCAAAGAGATGCAAGGAGATACAGGGAAGATCTGGTAGCTTCTGAAGATATATTTATTCTTAAGTAGCTAAGGAATAAATGTGTATTTGATGTGACAAAAACAAAAGCTCTACAGCTTCTGTAATCCCCAAAAATTCAAGTTCAATCTCCTACTTTTGCACTCTGCATGAAAAGCAAAAAATGATTATTCTATAATTGGTTTAATTACAGAAAGATCTGAAGAAATCATGTGAGAAAGGTTGAAATTTACTAAACTGTTCTAAGAGGAATTACTATTAAACTGCTTAGAATTTGTAACATAATGAACAAATATACACAATGCTTTGTTTTAGTTCTATGATGTAAATGGAAGTAATTTGTGAGCCATGTAGCTTGAGCCATGGGATGGTTATAGCAAATTTTACTTTTTGATGCATCACTGAAATATTTTCAACAGTGTTATCAATAGCTACTGGACTGAAAATGATCTGCATGAAACTTTCAAATTCTGGTGTTCTGTTCAGTAGCTGGATAATCCAGAACTGAAGAGGATTATAAAAGCTGGAAATTTTAGTTTGGTGTGGGTACTTCCCTGGCAGTGTAGGGTAATTCTGGCACATGACTTTTCTTTCCAGAGTAGCCTCAATTTTTGCTGCATTTGGACACATTTTTATTGTGAAAACATACTTAGCATTTGTAAGGTGTTCATGCTTGTCTCACTTGTGATAGTACTTCATCTGATGTCCCAGGACTCTGACAAGTTTTATATTAGGTCCGGTCCCTCTATCAGGACTAAAATCACAGAATGATAGAATAGCCTGAGTTGGAAAGGGACCCACAAGGACCCAGAAGTCCAGCTCCTGGCTTGACAGAAGACCACCCGAAAATCAGACCATATGTTCGAGAGCATGTATTGGGTATACATGGCAAAGTTTTGGTAGCAGGGGACTGCAGGGATGGCCTCTTTGAGAAGAATCCAGCAGCTGCCCCATATTAGGTAAGGATCAGTTTCAGCTGGCTCCAAAGGGACACACAACTGCCCAGAGCTGAGCCACTAAATGATGTTGTTTGTGCCTCTGGGAGACCATATGTAAGAAGGGAGAAAAATAACCTTCTGGGCAACAGCAGCTGGGAGAGAGGAGTCAGGAAATGTGAGAGAAGTAGCCCTACAGACCCCAAGGTGAGTGCAGCAGGAGGTGCTCCAGGCAGGCAGCAGCAGTTCCCCTGCGGGCTGTGCAGGGAGAGGCCTCTGGTGGAGCAGGCTGTCCCCCTGCAGCCCATGGGTCCCCCATGGAGCAGATCTCCACGCTGCAGCCCCCCCGTGGGTGGAGGAGCCCCCGTGGAGCAGGTGGATGTGGCCTGGAGGAGGCTGCGGCCCATGGAGAGCCCACGCAGGAGCAGGGGGTCTGGGGGGAGCTGCCGCCCACCCGTGGGGGTCCCGTGCTGGAGCAG